ACCCCTGCAAATCACGTGGAATACTTCTCAAACAGATTTTTAAAAAAGCAGCCAAATTTATATATACGGTGTAGCCAGTCAGAGCCATTCCTCATTTCCCTTCCTAGTGCACATCTGTGTCCAGGATCAGGTTACGGCCCTGGAAAACTTTCCCTCTGCCTGGTGAGCAACCTGAATCCAATGTCCTTCCGGAGCACTGTCCTTTCCCAGGCAGGAAAGGCAGCTGACCACAGGCAGGAGGGGAAGGAGACTCCCTCCTAGCCCAGGAAAAGCACAAAATGCAAAAGAGGAAAAACGGGGTTTAGTTTCCAAACATCGATTAAAATCAGGGTGGAAAGTTAATTGTTTTCTGATGAAATTAAAACTTTTTTAGCATGTAAATATTTGTCTATGAAAAAAAAGCATTCTTCACAATTATCATCAGTGAAGGAGGCAAACATTATATTGGACATCTGCACAGATACCCTGAAAAAGAAATCCTGTATATTAATGGTATTGCTCAGGTTGGAAACTGCAGCAACGCTACGCTGACAGTCTCTGTTAAAATAGAATGAAATTCTGTAGCCTTTCCTGGCATATCTTTAATTATTTCAGATTAAGGGCTACCTAAACCGCGCAACCAACTTTGTAGAAAATCATCAGAAAAAACATCTGAAAAAAAATCACCGATAGAAATGTTTCCCGAAAAGTATCTTTTTTTTTCAAATTTGAATTTGGCACTATATTTAAATAGGATAGCCTTGTGCCCACATGCATTTCTGCAGGCATGTATAAAACCATGAGACCATAATCCCAGTGAAACTCATACTGAAAGAAGGCATCTCAAGCACATAAACCACACATTTCAAAAATTGTCTCTTTGAGCATTTCTTTGCCAGCTTTTCCCCTTCAAATATTAGGGCAGCAACTCACACAACCTTCCAGATATTTCCCTCCTTTTTTTGCATAGCTCATATACCGTCTCGCAGCGCAGCACAAAGGAGCTGATAAAGAACTTCCCCTAACGACCTTTACCATTAGACTTGATCACTGGGTTCACCAAATTCTTCTTCAAAAGATTTTTATCCCTAATCTTGTCTCTCCAGCTGCTATCTCCCAACCTATTCTTACTGCTACCAATTTTCCTGCTCATACCCAGCATTTTCTCTGTTGTGATCCAAATGATCTCTTCAAATAACTGCTGTCCTCAGCATCACTTATCCTTGTCTATTCTCAGAAAAAAAGCATCTTCCTGTCTCAAAGGTATCTATTACCTGCACCCCGCCATCTCTTTCCACCATCTCCTGTGTGAATTTGACTTCAAAACTGAACATAATTTGCTTTCTTGAGTTAGTTTTTTTTAAGATTTCATGCACATGTAACAAGACTTTTTCATAACATTTCTGCACATGCAACAACAGAAGATCCTGCACTTCCTATTTTATTATTTCTCCCCACTGTATTCTTAGAAATGATGCACTGCTTGTTTTTGATAAATAAATGAATAGGCTGCAGCAGACACTCTGTACAGACCAGTGTACACCACTGAAGTGCTGCATGCAAGTCCCTGAAATGTGTCCAGCAACCCTAACTATAGATTATGCCACCTGTGTTGCTTATTGATCATGTTTGACAGCCAGGAGAGCCCGACCTCGGCTTTCCCTGCTGTTATTTTTGAAATGATCTCCACTAAGGCTTACCCGCACGCAGGGCGTATGACAGTAATTTCACCCTTGTGATCCTATCAAGGGGCAGAGAAGGATTGGGATGCCTGCTGGAAAAGTAGCAACTGAGCTAAGCAATATTAAAACCATCATCCTTGCACTGCGCTTCTTTCGGAATATAGGGAGGGATGCTTTGATTCCCCTCTTCCAGCTCCTACAGCATTATCTACAGCCCTTCAGCTTTCTAATATACTTTTCATTACATTTCCTTTCCTCTTGAAGCAATTAAGAATGTGGAAAAAAAAACACACAAAAGTCAAGACAAAAGGCATTGTTGCATTTTGTGTGGTTGTTCTTTGCCTAATTTAAAGCAGAGGGATCCCATGTGAAAGAAGCAAGTATCCAAGGGAAATCTAATAGCATAAGAACTCAAATTTAGGAGTAAGGCTATACATGTTAGAAATATCTTCACTGGGAAAGCGTTCAAAAATCCCTCTTCCTTACCCTCCAGTCATGAGAAATTTGTGATGCACATGTTAGAGTGACGTGGACTTTATTATGCAAATATATTTTTGCAAATTTGTACACAAAGCAGTTGCAGAATGGATAGTTCAGTAAGAAAAGCTGCAAGTATTGCAGAATATTGCATCTTAATCAGTCCTCTGAACATGTTGTCTCCTCAGAATATGTGTAAGCTTCAACAAACAGAGGTGCAGAAAGGTCTAGATGGCCTGGGGGATGGCAATGGTCTGTGCATTCCTCCTCTTAAGTATTTACAAAGTCCCTATCGCTTTGAAGTCTAAACTACTTTTTACCTTAAGGTTATGAGGCTGAATCTTACACAGCTCGATGCTGATTTAAAGTCATCCTCACTTACTGGGCTGTAGGAAAGAGACTCTTGGTGTGTTCTAATGCACGGTGAACACAGGGATGCTCAGGGTTAATATGACACAGGCTCCTACAGGGCTTCACGGCCCAAGAGCAACAACCCATAAAGACGGGCACTGGGAAGGCCGTGACGCTTGTGACACACCAGTGCTGTCAATCGGCAGAGGATTTCCTAGGCTACTAGTCTGGAGGAGGCATCTCCCTCAATGGTCTTGAAATTATTTTAAAACAACAAGTGTGGATTCAAGCTGTGTGTCACCACCTAACCCATGTATGCATGCCTTATCCAGACAAATCATTAACCAGGTAATGAGGCATAATTTCGTAACCAAAGGAAATAAAGAGTACTTTCAAATAAAATAGGCTTTCAGAGAGGTCACAACAGTTGGGAGGGAATACAGGAATAATTGAGTTAAAAAAAAAAGTATTCCACTCTACAAACACTTTAGACCGATTTCAACAACATGTTTGCATATAGAAATTGACTCTTTTCTATACATTTTAAAACAAAAACCTCTCCGCATAAAACATAAATTGTCATTTTCCAAACCAGCAGTTGTGTCCCACTCCAAACAGGTCACGCTACGACGAGGACCGCTCCAGTTTCATCTTGGCAGAACCATTTGCTGGAGTTCAAAACCACCAAGCACTGGTCTCAATATGGTTTATAGGGCCTGGCTCTGTCCTTAGGCTCGAACTTGAACTCTGCCAACTATAGCTGCTTCCTGCATCCAGCTCTGCCCACAGTGCAGTACAAACGCGCTGCAACGTACAGGTGGGTTATACAAACATAACGCCCAACCTGCGCTCCTCCTAAAATTGTGCTGTTCTTACAGCGCGCAACACTTCTGTTTTGGCCAACATTGCTGAAGGGGGAAAAAAAAAAAAAAAACACCCTCGCAAATTAATTCCAGCATATTCCGACTCTTTAGGAATACTTGGTGGCACAAAAGCCCCGCATTAGCCTTAACTGCCCGCGCTCTGGCCCTGAATGGCCACCACTTCGCGGCTAGTTGGGCGCCGTGGGGAAGCGCTCGGCGCCGCGGAGCCCCGTCCCCGGGGACCTCCAAACGCAGCGGGGACAAAGCGGGGCCGGCGGGGG